CGGAATATTATCAAGAGATGGAGACTATGATGGAAAGAGCAAATGTTAGAGAAGAAGAAGAAGATACCATGTCTAGATTCCTTGGAGGTTTGAATCGAGAAATTGCTCATCTTGTTGACAGAAATCCACCGCCATATCTAGAAGACATTTATCATTATGCTCTCAAAATTGAAGATCAATTGAAGGAAGAAAAAGAGCATTAAAAAAGGTACACATCACGAACTAACACCTTTTCAAATTCTAAAACTTGGAACAAGGATAGTTTTGTGAATAGAAATGAATCAATGTCACCAAAAGAAGAGTTTGTGGCTGCTAAAAGAGTGGAGGCTGAGAGTTCCATTGGTAAAAAGAATGAAGCTTCAAAGACGGTAAAGGAGAAGTCTAGTTCTATTCAATGTTGGAAGTGCAAAGGGTTTGGATTGGACACATGAGCAAAGAGTGTGTTAATAAAAAAGTTATGGTGATAAGGAATGGTATAATTGATTCAGATGATGAATGTGAGGATCATGATTCACAGCTTGTGGAAGAAATCGCAGCATATGATGATGAGTATTTTGAAGAAGGTAATTTCATATCTTTGATCACAAGAAGGGTACTCAATGTTCAAATCAAGGAAGAGAAATTTGAAGATCAAAGGGAAAACTTGTTCCACACAAGATGTTTGGTCAAAGGAAACCCATGCAGCTTGGTGATTGATAGTGGAAGTTGCACAAATGTGGTAAGCAGCTTCCTTGTAAAAAGACTTCAACTTTCTGTCCATCCCCATCCAAAACCATACAAACTTCATTGGTTAACAAACAAAGAAGAAATTAAGGTGAACTCCCAAGCTCTTATTTCTTTTACACTTGGAAGATATAACGATGAAGTTCTTTGTGATGTCGTACCAATGCATGCGGGGGACATCTTATTCGGCCGACCTTGGCAATATGATAGAAAGGTAACATTTGATGGTTTGATGAACAAGTATACTTTTACTTTGTGTGGGAAGAAATTTACTTTACTTCCATTGTCTCCATATGAAGTACATTGTGACCAATTGAAATTAGAGAAGAAAAGAAAAGAATATGAAGAACAACAGTGGAGAGAAGAAACTAAGGTAAAAGAGAGAGATAAGAGTGAAAAAAAAGAGAAAAGTGAGGGGCAAAGGATGAGTGAAAACCAAGAGAGAAAAAAAATGATTTTGAAGAAAAGAGAGAAAATGTGAGTTTAGTTACAAGAATGGGAGAAATGAGGAATATGTTAGCAAGAACCAAAATTTGTACCTATGTGCAAAGGAATGTGCTTAGCAATGGAACCAAAAACTGATGATGCTTTGCTGAGTGCTTTTAAGTCTCTTTTGCAGGAATTCAATGACATATTTCCACATGAAGATGCATGTATGGGGTTACCCCCTCTAAGAGGGATTGAACACCAAATTGACTTCGTACCTGGGGCAACTCTTCCAAATATGGCTGCCTATAGGACCAATCCCACCGAGACTAAGGAGATTCAGAGACAAGTGGAAGAACTCGTGGATAAAGGATATGTTAGAGAAAGCATGAGTCCTTGTTCGGTTCCTGTGATTTTGGTACCCAAGAA